AGGGGGAGGGGAGATTTGGAAGCTTGTGAAATCCACATTGATACCATTGGGCTGCAGGGTTCCCAAGCGGAATATGAGTTGCTGTTCCTGCAACCTTCGGGTGGCATCGTTGTGGCACTGCAGGAGGCCCAGGATGGACATGTCGTCTGAGGAATGGGAGGGGGAGTTGAAATGGTTCGCGACTGGGAGGTGCAGTTGTTTATTGCGAACAGAGCGTAGGTGTTCTGCAAAGCGGTCCCCAAGCCTCCGCTTGGTTTCCCCGATGTAGAGGAGGCCACAACGGGTACAGCGGATGCAGTATACCACATTGGCAGATGTGCAGGTGAACACCTGCTTGATGTGGAAAGTCTTCTTGAGGCCTGGGATGGGGGTGAGGGAGGAGGTATGGGGGCAGGTGTAGCACTTCCTACGGTTGCAGGGAAAAGTGCCGGGTGTGGTGGGGCTGGAGGGGAGTGTGGAGCGGACAAGGGAGTCACGGAGAGAGTGGTCCCTCCGGAAAGCAGATAAGGGTGGGGAGGGAAAGATGTCTTTGGTGGTGGGGTCGGATTGCAGATGGCGGAAGTGTCGGAGGATGATGCGTTGGATCCGGAGGTTGGTGGGGTGGTATGTGAGGACGAGGGGGATTCTTTTTTGGTTCTTATTGCGTGGACGGGGTGTGAGGGATGAGTTGCGGGAAATGTGGGAGACACGGTTGAGGGTGTTCTCGATCACTGAGGGGGGGAAGTTACGGTCCTTGAAAAACAAGGACATCTGAGATGTACGGGAGTGGAATGCCTCATCCTGGGAGCAGATGCGGCGGAGGCGAAGGAATTGGGAATAGGGGATAGCATTTTTGCAGGAAGGTGGGTGGGAGGAGGAGTATTCTAGGTAGCTGTGGGAGTCGGTGGGCTTGAAATGAATATCGGTTTCTAGGTGGTTGCCCGAGATGGAGACAGAGAGGTATTAGAGATGGTCCAGGTAAACTTAAGGTTGGGGTGGAAGGTGTTGGTAAAGTGGATGAACTGTTCGAGCTCCTCATGGGACCACGAGGCGGCGCCGATACAGTCATCAATGTAACGGAGGAAGAGGTGGCGTTTAGGGCCAGTGTGGTTACGGAAGAGAGATTGTTCCACGTAACCTACAACGAGGCAGGCGTAGCTTGGGCCCATGCGGGTACCTGAATTAACATGCAGATTGGTCGGAAAATTGCCAGATAGACCCTCGGTTAACAAAGTTATTGTGATACCAAGGGAGTCCCAGATTGTGTCACTAAATTGATTTAGAAATGCAAGCAGCCCCTTTTGTATTATTTTCTTTTCTGCTGAACAGAACCAATTGTAGAGGGTGAATATCTTCAGATTAAATATTTTTATGCATCACCGCTCTGCTGTATTTATTTTTGGATTTAGAAGCTGTAGGCCTCAAGAAACATGCACCTTTAATACCTAAAGACTTGAAGCTCAGCTTGGTCCCTATATATATTTTAAAACTATTCACTACTGGCAATATGGTACTGCATTCACCTTACCGAGTTTGTAATGAACCACAGCGCTCTAATAATAACATTTAAAATTAGACTTTATTTTTGCACTTTATTTGTATAAGAATACAACCCCAAAATAAATTGGAAATGTAACAGATGTTGGCTTCCTTTTCTCCTCCTCAAAGATGTTCAGGGTCTGGGATGTTCAGACACTTGCTGTGCTGCAGGTCTTCACAACTGGAGAACGTAAAGGAGATCGGCATATCAACATAATGATCTTTGATGCTAAAAATAAGAGATTAATTACTGGTAGGTTGCCAAGCTATCAAAAATTAATCACAGATGATCAATATGACAGTTGAATTTTTCCGGCTACTTCAGTTCGTGTTCAGTTAGAAATAATGGTTACACGTTCCTCAGTGCATAGTTCTTGCCTCAAAGCTAAAATCGTAGTTAGGAATTAGTCTTCTCGTAGAAGGGAAATTATTTGAGGCAAATGATGTTTTATTCAGGAACAAGTTTCTAACCTGACACTATTTGTAGGGAACTTCAACTGCTTGAAATGCATTTGATTGTCCTGCCATTAAAATGGATTATCAGTTTGAAAGATCAGCTTTGGTGCCTTAATGATCAATATAAACTTGCAGCATGCAAGCATCTTTGAAGGAATGCAAATTATCCCTCTAGTTTCTTTTCAAGAAGAAACTCTGCATTTGCTGAATGCAAATTGGTATGAATTGCTATTCTCCAGAAAGTGAGTTGATGCAGGATAGAACTGCAAAACAATCATTACACACTTCTTTATTCATTTACCAAGTTGCATATTACAAACATGTACTTCCCAGACAGGATTCCATCTAACTTCCATCCTGGCTGTCTTGGCCTGTTAGGTCAGTGCATGGCAGTGATTTCCAAAGTCAGAAGTCAATGCTGCGATTGGTGTGTTGGTGCCAATCACCATGCACAGAACATTGGAACAGTAAACATCTCAAAGGGAACATTGATGGATAAGTGCAATCTTACAATGTGTGGAACTATCGGTATCCCAGTTTGTATACTGAGCAATGAAATTTGGCTTATGATAGACAGTAGTAGAGACCTTCTCCTTGTTGATTTCTCATCTAGCATATCAAGGGATGGGAGAGCATGAAGATGTGTAAGGAAATTCTTACATGCGCCTGCGGGTTCAAATATCGCAAACCTATCATCTACATATCAAAAAAAATGTAAAGGATCAGTGTTGGCTGTCATTCCATTGAAGGCCAAATCTTTGTGAGAGCTGGGTGATCCCATCATTCATTTGGACATACACAATGAGATTACAGCTGAATTCAACTGCATAAATTGCTAAATTCATAAGCTTAATGAATAGAGATTCACACAAAGGTGGCAGGGCTAGATAATCATAATATAGTGCTTTGACCAAATAGTCTTCTTTGAAAGGAATTTAAAAAGAAAAGTTAAACTTGTGCAGCAACTACCACCTGCTACGCACTATGTATAGGGGTTCTTCGAGAAGTATGGCACTGTGTCATTCCTGTGTTCCTCCTGACCAGAAGACCTTTAGGGTCCAAATGCTGACTCTGGACAGAAGTTTATTTAATCGTCCCCATCTTACCCCCATCCCCAAAGATATTTAGACCCCACTATACCTTCTAGTTTCAAACTTCCTCCTCAGGAAGCAAAGCAAACATGATTTCACAAGCTTCAAAATCTCCCCTCCCCCTACTGCATCCCAAAACCAGTCCAGCTCATCCCCGCCTCCCTAACCTGTTCTTCCTCCCACTATCCCCTCCTCCCACCTCAAGCCGCACCCCCATCTCCTACCGAATAGCCTCATCCTGCCCCCTTGACCTGTCCGTCCTCCCTGGACTGACCTATCCCCTCCCTAACTCCCCACCTACACTCACCTTTACCGGCCCCAGCCCCGCCTCTTCGACCTGTTTGTTTCCTCTCCACCTATCCTCTCCTCTATCCATCTTCTATCTGCCTCCCACTCTCTCCCTATTTATTTCAGAACCCCCTTCACCTCCCCCTTTTCTGATGAAGGGTCTCGGCCCGAAACGTCAGCCATTCTGCTCCTATGATGCTGCTTGGCCTGCTGTGTTCATCCAGCCCCGCACCTTGTTGTCTCGGATTCTCCAGTATCTGCAGTTCCTACTATCTATGTTTCAGTTTAGCCCCTCTTCTCTTTGTGCTATGCTGTTCCACAAGGTAGGGCTTTTGATGTTCAGAGCAGAAAGTACCAGAGCTCCTGTCCAGTGGTAAAGGAATAGGTTGGAAATCAATTTTGTTGTCTTCAAGTGGTATAATGTATGTAGACTGGGAAGGTCCATTTAATATTAAGACATCAAAGGAGTGGGGATAGTTGATGCTTTACATTCAAAACCACTCAAGAGTAGGAAAATTTGTTTGTAAAGCAGTAAAATAAGTATATGGAATCTGTAGGTTGTAGAAATAGTTGCATGGAATATTTAAACTAAGAAGGAGTGATAACATTGCAAAAAGTATTGACCATGCTGTTGCTGGGGTTATAACTCATCAGAGATAATAAGAACTGCCGATGCTGGAGTCAGAGATAACACAATGTGGAGCTGGAGGAACATAGCAGGCCAGGCAGCATCAGAGGAGCAGGAAATTTGACATTTTGGGTCTGGAAAAAAGGTTTTCTGAAGAAGGGTCCCGACCCAAAATGTCAACTTTCCTGCTCCTCTGATGCTGCCTGGCCCGTTGTGCTCCTCCACCTCCACACTATGTTATCTCTGACTCCAACATCTGCAGTTCTTACTATCTCCTAGTGTCGAGTAGTTCAGTTTGAGACAGTTATAAGGCTGCTTGCTTATCAAACTTAGGACATCAAGCATCAACTTAGGAACATACTTGCAGGAAAATAAAACAAAGAACTGCAGATGCAAATAAAAATAGAAATTGCTGGAAAACCTTAGCAGGTCTGGCAGCACCTATGGAGAGAAAACCAAGTTAACATTTTGGGTCCGGTGACCCGTCTTCAGAACTGGAATTTTGAAGAAGGGTCACTGGACCCAAAACGTTAACTCTGTTTTCTCTCAACATCTTTACAATGTTCAAGTTGTGTACTATTAGATAATTAAAATGTATTAAGTGATTATATTTCATGACGCATGTGTAGTTGTAACTATCCAAACTTTTAAAAGTTTTGTATATGTGAAAGTCTTAGGACATGTCTAATTGTGAAAAATTAAAATCCTAATCTTTGATTGATACTAAGTGTGGACTATGTGCTGATCATGTAGGCACCATAGACCAGTCAAGTCCTTATTTCTTTTCCATAAAATAAGCAAAGCAGCTGTATTTCCAACAACCATTTCTGTCCACGTAGTTTAACCACTATTTTAAACATTTTAAAAATTATTTTTCTTGTCTCTCCACCAGTTCCCATTCTTCTCCATGACTTATTGCCCATATAATTGCTCCAAGATCTTAAATTAAAGTCTTACAATCCTTCTAACCATACTTATTGGCACCTTATCCTGACCAGTTTCTTCTCTTGGAGATTTGCCCTACCATTCATCTTGACCTAGGCCAACTTTCTCCAGAAAAATATTATGTATTTGGATTGACCATAGGCGATAATTGCCTCGGCTGTATTTCCACTTCCACACACATTGGATGACACACTGGAAGACTCCATATATCAGAGATATATCAGATCCATATAAGATATAGTAAGAACTGCGGATTCTGGAGTCAGAGATAACACAGTGTGGCGCTGGAGGAACTCATTTTCTGAAGAAGGGTCCCGATGCGAAACGTCAGCTTTCCTGCTCCTCTAATGCTGCCTGGCCTGCTCTATTCCTCAGCTCCATACTGTGTTATATATCTGTAAGAGCCCACTCCATTACCAATTGGCTAATACCATCAGGATAGAAGGAGACAATCACTAAAAATAAACTAATCCACTGTTTTTATACAAACGATAGCAAGTTCATGTAAATTAATACACGTGTTTGCTTGATTATGCAGGTTCCAACAAAATAGAACTTGTACCTCTCATGTCTGCTGTACAGGACAGTATGCTGGTTCCCCAATCTCATGAAAAATCTATCAATGTTCTGGCCTATAGCAAAATGAATAGCAAGTTGGCCTCCATTTGCAGTAAATCTGTACTTATGGTAAGTGTGTATGTAAAAATTTGCATGAAGTGTCACTCACCTGCCACTATTGATGTGTCACTCTTCATGATGCCAGCATTGCTGTTTATTCATTAGTTCTATCTTTCTATTCCTGTCATTATGAAGAGCTCCCGCATCTCCTTCAGTGGGATCCTGCAGACCTGTATGACATTAATGAGGTGAATAGATTCATCTTGTTTCAAAAGTACTTAAAAAAAAACTATTTAGGTCCTTTTGTCCTTTGGTAAGCATTTAGGTCTATAGCAGCAGGCCAATTTCTGGCCCAAATGTCATGATTCGAAGGACTAGAGCCCATAATACTAGGATTGTCCTATCTCTTTCGTCAAATAAAAGCAAAATACTGCAGATGCTGGAAATCTAAAATAAACACAGAGAATCCTGGAGAAACTCGACAAGTCTGACAGTATTTGTGGAGGGAGAAACAAAGTTAATGTTTTGAGTTTGGTATGATGCTGCTTCGGAAGTGAAGACTGCTGAAGAAGAGTCATACCGGACTCGAAATGTTAACTCTTTTTCTCTTTCCACAGATACTGCCAGACATGCTCAGTTTCTCCAGCATTCTCCTTGTTTGTTTCTTAACTATTTTGCTTGGCCTTTCCTCAGAGGCTTCTACAGGATCAGAACACTTCCAGTTGGGAAAGCATAAACCACACACATCATCACATTTTGACATGGAATTTCCACTGAATAAAGTAACTAGTTCCTTGTTTGCCCTGTTAAAATTTACACCTTCAAGGTTTGTAGTGCTGTCATAGTGCATTTATTCTGCATCCTCCTCTTCTTGTGGCTTCTCGCATTATATTCAGGATTATCACAATGCTGGTGCATCATCTCCTGTCAGGTACTCATTTCTCTTCCAATCCTGCTGCCTTTAATTCTCTTGCTATCACATCTTTTCAGTTGATCTTAAATCTTCCTTTTCTTCTACCTGGCAACCCAATCTTCATCACTTCCATCATCATACGTCTCCCCTGCATTAAGGACATCTCCTTGGGCTGGAATGGAAATTGCAGTAAAACAACAAGGATCTGGTTGTCATGGTTCATGTGGATGATAATTACATAGCTAATAAAGACGTTCTGCCTCAGTAGTATATAGAGATAATACAGCGTGGACCCTTCTTCAGTAAAAGGGTCTGAAGAAGGGTCACGACCCGAAACATCAACTTTCCTGCTCCTCTGATGCTGCCTGGCCTGTTGTGTCCCTCCAATTCCACACTGTGTTGTCTCTGACTCCAGCATCTGCAGTTCTTACCATCTTTGCCTCAGTAATATACATAGTTAGTGGCTAACTTAAAAAAGAAAATCCCAGAAAGCATTGTCTTTGGCTCATTACTCGAACCACAAGCAAATTACCATAAGTGCAGTCAGGCAGTTGAAATTATGGGTCAAAATTTGGTAGGAAATAAATGGGTTTTTAATTCATTGAATATTGGCTCCAGTACTGGGCAAGAGGGAGTTGTACCAATGGGACAGTCTTCACTTGAGCCATGCTCAGACCAGTGTTCTGATGAATTAGAAAATTGGGACTGCAAAGAACGCCTTAAACTAAATGTTGGGTGTGGGGAGGGTTCACATAAGGGGAAATTTGGAAATTTAAGAGAAAGGATAAAGCAATAGTGCAGGGTAGAGAGATTAGCTATCCATTACAAAGATGCCGCTACAATGCAAACACAACCGGTATCCAAATCCAAGGGTATCTGACAGTTTGAGAAAACAGGAAGAAAGGAAAAGAAGGTAGGGTAGCAATGCCAAAAAAAAACAAGAAGAACACAACAATGAGAAATTATCATAGTTCAAAGAATTTTAAGGAAGATAAATACCAAAGGAAATAAGTCACTTTAGGGAATAGTTTATAATACCCTTGACTGTAGCTATACTGTAAATCAGGGTACAAATCAAGACATAATGGTGTTGAAAGAAAGATACTGCAATATTTATAGTAGTTTCTGATATTCAAATCGATTGGGCATAGCAAATTTTGAATTGTGTCATCAGACAGGATTAATTAGTTATGTCATAACAAAGGACCCCTTTAGGCAAGATTGATCATAATATCAGAAAATTCCGACTCAATTTTAAGTGGGAATTTTGATTTTGATGTTAGAATCCTAAACTTAAATACAGACAATTTTAAGGATATGAAGTCAGAGTTGGAAAAAGTGGATAGGAAAGGAATAGGTTAAAAAGTAAGAGATAACAAGGTTTAGAGCTGGATGACCATAGCAAACCAAGCAGCATCAGAGGAGCAGGAAAGCTGACGTTTCAGGTCTGGACACTTCTTCAGAAATGGGGGAGGGGAAGGGGATTCTGAAATAAATAGAGAGAGAGGGGGAGGCGGATGAAAGATGGATAAAGGAGCAGATAGGTAGAGAGGAGACAAACGGGTCAAAGAGGCGGGGATGGAGCCAGTAAAGGTGAGTGTAGGTGGGGAGTTAGGGTGGGGATAGGTCAGTCCAGGGAGGACAGACAGGTCAAGGAGGCAGGATGAGGCTGGTAGGTAGGAGGTGGGGGTTGGGATTGAGGTGGGAGGAGTGAATAGGTGGGAGAAAGGACGGACAGGTTAGGGACGCGGGGACGAGCTGGGCTGGTTTTGCGATGCGGTTGGGGGAGGGGAGATTTTGAAGCTTGTGAAGTCCTCATTGATACAATCAGGTTAAAAAGTAAGTCGGTTAGCCAATTTAAGGAGACATTTCATGACTCTTCTATCAAAAACAAATGATATTGACAAAGAAAGAATCCTGTGCAAACTATGTACTAGTTATGACTAACTCAGGAATTTAAGGGTAGTACCAAATTAAAAGAAGAGACATCAATTCTATATAAGTTAGTGTTAGTCCAGAAGATTTGGGCAAAGCTTAGAAACCAGCAAAAAAATTACTAAAATAAATGAAGAAGTAAAAGGTGAAGTGTGACAGAAAATTATCCAGTAAAATAAAAACACAGTAAAAAACTTCTTTGAGTATATAAAAAGGAAAAAAGAAGTATCTGTAAAAGAGCTTGGATCCCTTTGAGGGTGACAGTAGGGAATCAGTCATTGGTAAGGATTTTGTATTGGCTTTCACAATAGAAGAAAAAAATCACATCCTAAGAAAAGAAGAAAAGCAAGGCACAAAGGGAAGAATGAAAGATTGTGATCCCTGGGGAAGAAATTACTGGAAAAATAATAGGACGAAAATGTTGACAGTTCCCTGGATCAAATGGCCTGCTTCCTAAGGTCTTAAAAGAAATAACAGCAGAGACATTGGATGAGGCTTTGCAGTGGGTCTAGGCCCGAAACGGCAGCCTTCCTGCTCCTCTGATGCTGCTTGGCCTGTGTTCATCCAGCTCTACACCGTGTTATATCAGAGATATTGGATGCATTGGTTATAATTTTCCAAAACTTCTTAGATTCTAGAAAAGTATCAATGGATTGGAAAACCACAAAGTTAGTATTTATTTTTAGAAAAGAGGGAAACAGAAAGCTGGAAACTCTCAGCCAGGTAAGCTAAAACCAAGCATAATTAAAGAAATGGTAGCAGCTTATTCAGACAATAATAAAACAATCAGACAGAGTCAACATGGTTTTTTTGAAAGGGAAATCATTGCTTGACAAATTTATTAGAATTATTTGAGGACATAGTAAGCATAGTAGATAAAGTGAAGCTAATTGAAGTAGCATATTTGGATTTTCAAAAAGCATTCAATAAGATTCTGCATAAATGGTTATGAAATGAGGTAAAATCTCATGGTGTTTGGTGTGTGGTATAATATCATGTATTATACTTGTGGGTGAAAGAATATTGCCACAATTCCTGTTTCTGTGACAGTCTATGAAGGTTTACTATGGTACAGGGACAACCACGAGTGAGTCTTAACAGGAATAGGCTCTTGTGTTATCAAGATGCCAGTTATTGCATGGTGGCAATTTGGTAAAAGTTGCATTAGCTTGTGAGACATTGTTACTAAGATTCTTGGGAAACACAGATGATACATCTGTCCCCTAAAAAATCGACAGCTATACCCCTGACTTCCCACACAAGATTGTAAGTTATCAAGAGATTGTTTGGCGCATTATGCAGTCTCCACCATTAACCATTTCAGAACCTCTAGGACAGACTTTCCACTGGCAAGGCAGTAATTATGTATATCATAGTTGCGTATGGGGACCCTGCAGAATCTTCATTGTAGCTCTCTCCGAAGGAATTGCCTGTGAAATTGAATTTTCCACTGGGCAATTCTTCCACATCTGGAACCCTTCAAAAGTCTAAATAAAGATTAGAGAATTTGGATGGTTCTGAAGAAGTTAGCTATAATAGTTACTCAGGAAGAGTTAGACAAAAAAATTAAATACATTATCAAGAGTCATAGAGTCATACAGCATGGAAACAGACCCTTTGGACCAATTAGTCCATGCCAGCCAAGTAGACTAAACTGAACTCATCCCATTTCCCATCGTTTGGCCCATGACCGTCTAAATCTTTCCAATTCACGTATCTGTTCAAATGCCTGTTAAATGTTGTAACTGTACGCGCCTCAACCACTTGACAGCTCATTTCATATGCGCACCACACTCTGTGTGAAATAGTTGCCTTTCAAATCCCTCTTAAATTTTTCCCCTCTAACCTTAAACCTATGCCGTCCAGTTCTGAACTCCCCCACCCCTTGAAAAAGACCTTGGCCATTCATCTTATCTATGCCCCTCATGATTCTATAAAACTCTATTAGGTCACCCCTCAGCCTCCTATGCTCCAGGTGAAAATAATCCCGGCCTAACCAGTCTCTCCTTATAACTCAAACCATGCAGTCCTGGCAGCATCCTTGTAAATGTTTTCTGTACCCTTTCTAGTTTAACAACATCCTTTGTATAACAGGGTGACAGGAATTGTACATAGGATTCTAAAAGTGGCCTCACCAATGTCCTGTACAGCTACAACATAACATCCCAACTCCTGTACTCAATGCTCTGACCAATGAAGGCAAGCATGTCAAATGTCTTCT